TTACCCGCCGCCCACCGAGGGCTTCCCGCCGCCCGACAGCTACCCGCCGCCCAAGAGCTACCTGCCGCCTGACAGCTACGTGCCACCCACCCCCTGGTACCCGCCGGCCTACGGAGAGCGACCGCAGGGCCCGCACGCTGGTGAGGTGCACTGGGGACCGTCTCTCGGGCCCATGGACTCCTTCCCAACCCTTTATCTCTGGCATCCCTGGGGCTGTCCTAACCCTTGGGGGTGCAGAGGAGTCCCCCTCCCTCTAGGCATGTGCCCCACCGACCGTGATGGTCCTGCAGCCCTGACTTGTCTCTCCCTTAGGCCCTTCCTGCCACAGCGGGCCCACCGAGGTATCAGGGGGTGTGTTTTACCAGCTGCATGCCTAACTTTTTTTTTATTTTTGAAGGTGGAAATGGCAATTTCTCCCAGAAGAGGCAAGGCGAGCAAGCGCCTGGGTTTAGTAAACGTTTTCCAGAAGAAAATAACAAGCCAAAGGTATGGACTGGGGTTCCCCAGTGCAAGAAAGGCATGGACCTGTTGGAGCGGGTCCAGAGGAGAGATGCAAAAATGGTCTGAGGACTGGAACACATCTCCTATGAGAAAAGGCTGAGAGAACTGGGGTTCGGCCTGGCGAAGAGAAGGCTCCAGGGAGACCTTATTGTGGCCTTTCAATACTTACAGGGGGCTAATGAGAAAGATGGGGACAGACATCTTGATACGGCCTGTAGTGATAGGACAAGGGGTAATGGTTTTAAGCCATTGAAAGACAGCAGGTTTAGGCTGGGTATAAGGAAGGAATTATTTACGATGAAGGTGGTGGGACACTGGCACAGGTTGCCCAGAGAAACTGTGGATGCACCAGCACTGGAAGTGTTCAAGGTTGGATGGGGCTCTGAGCAACCTGATCAAGTGATAGATGTCTCTGCCCATGGCAGGGGGGTTGGGCTGAATCATTTTTGAAGGCCCCTTCTGACCTAAACTGTTCTGCGATTCTGTGTTGTTGATGATCGTGTGGAACTTGCCCTGTGGTACTACAGAGACACCATACTCTTTGTCTAATGTGCCTGCCCTTAAAAGAGAGCAACCATATGATAATCAGTCTGCAAATCTTGAGCCCCTTGAAAGAAAGATACATTTCAACCAAATTTTAACACAGGTTTACTTTAGAAAAGCCCTTACCATGGTGATGCCTGAGTGCCTAAGCGCTCTGTTACATTGTCAGAGCCAGACAGGCAGGTCACCCTGACCCCCCCCGGGTACCCGCCGGCCTACGGAGAGCGACCGCAGGGCCCGCACGCTGGTGAGGTGCACTGGGGACCGTCTCTCGGGCCCATGGACTCCTTCCCAACCCTTTATCTCTGGCATCCCTGGGGCTGTCCTAACCCTTGGGGGTGCAGAGGAGTCCCCCTCCCTCTAGGCATGTGCCCCACCGACCGTGATGGTCCTGCAGCCCTGACTTGTCTCTCCCTTAGGCCCTTCCTGCCACAGCGGGCCCACCGAGGTATCAGGGGGTGTGTTTTACCAGCTGCATGCCTAACTTTTTTTTTATTTTTGAAGGTGGAAATGGCAATTTCTCCCAGAAGAGGCAAGGCGAGCAAGCGCCTGGGTTTAGTAAACGTTTTCCAGAAGAAAATAACAAGCCAAAGGTATGGACTGGGGTTCCCCAGTGCAAGAAAGGCATGGACCTGTTGGAGCGGGTCCAGAGGAGAGATGCGAAAATGGTCTGAGGACTGGAACACATCTCCTATGAGAAAAGGCTGAGAGAACTGGGGTTCGGCCTGGCGAAGAGAAGGCTCCAGGGAGACCTTATTGTGGCCTTTCAATACTTACAGGGGGCTAATGAGAAAGATGGGGACAGACATCTTGATACGGCCTGTAGTGATAGGACAAGGGGTAATGGTTTTAAGCCATTGAAAGACAGCAGGTTTAGGCTGGGTATAAGGAAGGAATTATTTACGATGAAGGTGGTGGGACACTGGCACAGGTTGCCCAGAGAAACTGTGGATGCACCAGCACTGGAAGTGTTCAAGGTTGGATGGGGCTCTGAGCAACCTGATCAAGTGATAGATGTCTCTGCCCATGGCAGGGGGGTTGGGCTGAATCATTTTTGAAGGCCCCTTCTGACCTAAACTGTTCTGCGATTCTGTGTTGTTGATGATCGTGTGGAACTTGCCCTGTGGTACTACAGAGACACCATACTCTTTGTCTAATGTGCCTGCCCTTAAAAGAGAGCAACCATATGATAATCAGTCTGCAAATCTTGAGCCCCTTGAAAGAAAGATACATTTCAACCAAATTTTAACACAGGTTTACTTTAGAAAAGCCCTTACCATGGTGATGCCTGAGTGCCTAAGCGCTCTGTTACATTGTCAGAGCCAGACAGGCAGGTCACCCTGATGTGTGTAGTGGGAGAATGAAGGATCTCTGCTGCCCTCTGAGCTCTTACATGTCATGTGAGAACAGGTGTAGTCTGACTTGATAGGGAAGAGACTCAGGGCTGTAGCCTAGCTCTCCTCCCAGCCCTTGCTAAACCTGTGCCAGCCTGGTATGTTTGCAGAAGTGATAGTTGATGGGAAGGTGGTAGGGGAAAGAGCTGAGTGCAGGGTGCTTTGTTTGGAAGATGAGCGATTTGAACTTCACTTGCATGTTGTTATCTTACCTTTGAAACTTTTGAAACGTGTTTTAATTGATGGCTTTATTAACAAAAACACTCACGAAAGTGTTTCACGCCTAATTAAAAGTAGGAATATCTTGTAATCTTGTAACTGCAATCTTGAGATGATTTCTTTTTTTTTCAGACCAAAAAGAAAAAAGAGCCAGTTTTCTCTCATTATTGTGATACCTGTGACCGTGGCTATAAAAACCAGGAGAAATATGATGAACATATTTCGCAACATAAACAGGTTGATGAGTTTGGCTTGTTTTATTTACACTTTGATTTTCAACTTTTAACATGAGAAGTTAGCTGTACTTGCATTTTGAGTGGAAAACTTGGCAAAGACATTCCAGAGCGACAAAAAGTGTTAGTAGGGGATTTTTTCTGAATGCTGTGTGTAGGGGAGGTCTCAGTTGTGGATTTGGTTTTATTCCTGAAGTAATTTTAATGTCTGTCTTGTGAAGCATTGCTAAGTCACACCAGGGGTAGGAATTAATTCACTGACATTACTATAGCATGTAAAATTTCCTGTATGAAAAGGCTTTATGTGGAAAACATATTTTAAAAATCCACTCCTTTATTGCAAAGATGTATCAAAATTCTAAATTGCAAAGTCTTGCAAATCCTTCTCTTGAGTTAACTTCACGTTATCTCCTGTTATCAGATATGTTGGCTTCACTGGTTATTCTAAAATCAGATGAAACTTAGAAGTACATTATCCCTTCTTACTGTTTTTACAGTCAAGCTTGTTTTGAAACTGAGTAGCTTAAAAGTTCTGTATAACTAACTGAACAGGCATCTGGCACCGAGTTTCTTTCAAGTGTACTCAAATGCTTGTTCATAATTTGTTTGTGTAACTTGGTGTGTCCTAAGTTCACCCCTTTACCTTGCAGTGCACGGAAGAAGGTTGCAATTTCAGCGCACATGAGAAGATAGTTCAGATACACTGGAAGAACGTAGGTATCCCCTGGGGCCCAAAATATGAGTCTATGCAATCTTTATTGTAGTCCCTTTTCTCATTCTTCAGAGGCTTGCTTTCCTCCTTTTGGAAGGAGAACCTGTCATGTCTGAGTAGAATCTGTTGTAAGACAATATTGTGGATGAAAAGATATTTAATACTATGGGTTTTTTTAATGGGTTCATTTTGTAATCGCTGTGTGCAGTCTCACCGCTTTTGGAGATGAAAACAGTGTGATACTACTATAGTTGGCTGAATGATGCTTTTTTTTTTTTCTTGTGTTTTTTTTCTTTCCCCTTTTAAACACCTATGAAATGCTTTTTCCTTAGGCACATGCACCTGGTGCTAAAAGGATAAAATTAGATAGCCCGGAAGAGATTGCTAGATGGAGAGAAGAAAGAAAAAAGTGAGTAAGACTTGTGACCTATGGATTTGTTTTACTGTATTTTCCTTGCGTGATCATTAAATGACAGCTGAAAGGCAGTAGCAGCATGTGCTTGCTGCTGCTGTTGCATTGGCTCAGCGAAACTCCTGTGGTCGTGGTCTTTGTCAGAGTGCCTGAGCCAGGAGGGTGTGAGCTGCAGAGACTATAATCATTTGGATGATTATAATAGAAGGCAAGATATCAACTAAGAAGGAGGTAACTTTCCTGGGTGTTTCGTTTGGTACCTCAGGTTAGGTGAACAACTCGTTCCTTTTAGCCTGATTGCTGAGATGTTTTAGGTTAGAAATGTGTGTGTGTTTGCCTGGTGTTTTTTTAATAGCTAAGAAATCTGGAACTCTGTACTGGCTATAATTGTAACACATCCCACCAGCTTAAGTTGTCCCAGTAGACATCAACAGGGAGTTCTCCTAATTTTTAAGAACTGTGTGCATTGCTCGATGCTTTTCTGCTGAAAGGGAATAGAATGCATGAATGATGCTGTCTCAACTAGTCTAACTTATGTTGTGCCTAGAGTACGAGGTAAAGTTCACATGTAAGCAGTATTTCTCATTCTGTGATGTGAGGTGGTACAACTTCTTTCCATTTACCAGGAAAATCACACTGGACTTCTCTAGGTCTTATCCCACTGATGTTTGGGTTCCCCCCCTCCCCCCAAGTTGAACAGATGAAAATCTACCCTTTTCTAGCAGATGAAAGATGCTATAGGCTTTCCTCACTTCTGTTCCAGACTTGGAATTTAGTCTTGCGAGTGAATGGTACACAGGTTTTGTTTCTGTGAGCAAGAGTCCTATATGCAGGGTGGGAAGTGATAAAAATTGAAGTTTTGAGATCACTGGTGATGAGCTTGAGCAGTGTGCTAGTCACCTGTTTTTTCAAATGAAAATAAACCCAGTTGTCTGATACAGTCTAACTGATGAATCCAGCTTGCATGTGTAAAAGCAATGTTAATGCGCTCTTGTTTTGAACCTGACTTCCCTTCATATGTTTTTACACAAGGGCTTTGTAAAAAAGGAAAAATAAGTGGAATGTATGGTAGGAGTTTTTCTTGTTACCTCCCATGACTTTTTGCTGTATTGAGAAGCAAAATTTCTCCCCATTTAATGGGAAGGAGCAAATCCCTGCAAGTTTAACTTCCCTTTGGACATGGTTTCAGCTTTTTCTGCAAATTTCAGAACTGCAAAGGGAATACTTCACTATGTCAGCACATCGCAGCAGTCAACTGTTGCACCTGCTGTAATTTTTATAAATGAAGATAATCTGTAGGTCCTGATGTGTAGGGTTGTGGGTTTTTTTTTTTAAACAGCTTTTTGTTTGTTTGGGTTTTTTTAACCGTAAATTTCTTTTGTCCCTTATTTAGAATCATAGAATAGAATCATAGAATGTTTTGGATTGGAAGGGATCCCTACAGGTCATCTAGTCCAACCCCCCTGCAGTGAACAGGGACACTGCTAACTAGATCAGGTTGCTCAGAGCCCCGTCCAACCTGGCCTTGAATGTTTCCAGGGATGGGGCCTCCACCACCTCTCTGGGCAACCTGTTCCAGTGTTTCACTACCCTCATTTAAAATGCCTTAAATAACTAGACAAAAATTCCTTGTGATCTGTGCAAGTACAAGTTTGGTGTTAGATTAGTTTTGGTTCCAAGATTTCATTTTATTCAAAAGATACTTGAGGGTTTGTTTTTTCACTTGCTTTCACTCTACATGTTGCTGTCTTCCCCTCCCCCACCCCCAATAGTGATACTTACCAAGTTTTTATTACTTACAATACAAAATGTTTGAACAGAGTTAGCAAAACCCCAAATGTCCATAGGTTTGTCTGTCTTGTGGCCTACACTTAATTTTCTAACAGTACCTCCAAGGAAAGGTACCAATACTTGTGTGCAGTCTTTGCTATACATTTGCAACTTTGTATGTGCTTTTCTGTTTTGGGAGGTGTTTGGGAGAGTTCCTGCATAGTGGCTGATGCTAAGGTTTAAGTGTTGAAATGATGTTTGGAGGTATGTGTGTCAGTACATGCTCTACTGTATACTAGAACATGAAGGAAGCAAGAATTGATGTACAGTCATGTTTAGGTACTGTTTGCTTGGGGAGTGGGTGCTGCAAGTTGAAGCAATGTTTATCTACAGTTAATTAAGGATGTCACTCCGCTTGAGAGTGTTTTTGTTGAGTTTCTAGAGAATCTCATGGCATATACTGTTGGGTTTTTTTACAGATGACTATAATTTGGCTGTGGTACAACATTGCTGAAAGCCTTTGTTCACAGTGTAAATGCAAATAAAGCCTTGTAATCACAACCACCAACCAAAAAAGGCAATATGAGATTAGGCCCTTCTAAGCCAAGGCCACTAGATGGAGTACTGCTGTAGCATATTTTGATACTTCAGTCCTTTGTGTGGGCATCTTGTTTAGCTATAATGAATGGGTGTAGAATGACTACCTGGGTGGCTTTTGTTGCTCTTTGTACAAGGAGGAAGCTGTACTAACATCCCTTTTTTTTTTTAATTTAAAAAAAAAAAAAAAGAGAAACACAGCTGAAACTTTTGTGAAGTGTTAATTGGGTCTCCAGCAAACCATCAGTTTAGTACTGAAGGTCTGTTGTTGACTCACAGTAAACATTGCATTGTACAGGAAAAAAGGACACCAGAGGGAGTCTGAGCTATTAGGCAGTTGTGGTTTATGGTGACAGAAGAAAGCCTTTTTCTTGCTAGAAGCTCCAGTCAGAGCTAAGAATAAATCTTTTCAGGTCATTAGTAGTTTGTTTCCAATTAGGTTGCAATGATTTAATGTGTATTTCCATGCTGCATCCCTAACATTCCTGTCTTGCTTTTTCTTTCAGCAGTTATAAATAATTACTTAGAGTAGAGATTTTTCTTCTTAATTAGCTGCTGTGTTGCTCAGTTGTGTGTCCTGCTAAAATATATTAGAAAGAGTCTGTGTTTAAAGTGCAGCCTTACTTGCACAGAGGGAAGAGAAGGGGGAGAGCTGGTAAGGAGCGAGTGTCTCTGGATGAAGCATGCTGGGTCAGAATGCTGTTTTCCTGTCTCAGTTCTGTACAGTGCCCATTCTTCGCTGCAGCCTTCATGTCTCTGCTTTACCTAAAAGACTCTTTAATGGCTTGTGGCCTGCTGAGCCAGGTAATCCAAACTTAAGCGGACAACAATAGGCATGAAGTTTTTTTTGGGGTTTCCCTGTGTTTTGCAGACAGATGGTTGTGAAGTCTGACATCAGCTTTGGTGATTACAATTACTTTTTTGTTTTCATTTGTCCTGTCTCTTCTAAGTGTTGAGAAATGTGCTGTTTTCAGCATATTTTTTTTCTTAAACACAAGTTTAAAGGGAATTATCTACAGTGCATTTCCTTAATGTGTCAGAATGAGGTATTGCTGCCTTCACTTCTTTCCAAGTGAGATCTAGGTCCTGCTAGCCCATCTGTTTCTAACCAACTCTTCTTGAGCAAAGGTTATCAGAAGGAATGTGGCAAGGCTGCTCTAGTGTTGAAGTGAATCGTTAAACTTAATTTTGCCTAGGTCCTAATACAACATTTGAGGATTTTCTTGATCTTGCATGTTGCTTGTAAATTCTCCCCCTCCTCCCCCTCTTTCTTTAATCTGTTGGGGTTTTTTTGGTTCAGTTAGGGATTGACTGCTCTATTTCCTTGCGGTACATCTCAAAGGCTGAGCACATGCTTAATGAACGAAGACCACTACTGTCAATCACACCGCTTTTAATTAATTTGTGGTTCTTTAGTTGAATAATGATAATCCTAGAGTAGCTTGGAATCCTCCCTGGTGTTACATTTATGGTAGTTAAGTATGTAACAAGGAAAATAATTCTTAGCACCTGGTGAAAGTAGAGAAGACAAAGCAAAATAGAAGGAATGTGTTGGTAGATCAAGGTAAGTGTAGATGCAGTAAAGTTTGCTCTGAACTGCAGAGATGGATTAGCAATAAAACTGCCTCAGCTAACATATGGTATAATCACACTAGAGATGCAATGCTTGATAAAATGCCTGGGAGTCTTAAACCAAGATTTTATCAGCTCTCTGTTGGGCCATCTTTGTTCCTGTTGGGCTATCCATGTCCCCTTTGCTGTTGGTTGTGCGTATGCAGTCAAGACCAGCTCCAGAAATTATTGAGGCAATTTGATCACAGTGCTGTTCCTATAAAGTTGATAAACTTGTATAGCACTGGACTCAGAAATTCATTGTGTAAACCGCTATAGACGCAGGTCTCTCTTCTGTTAGGTATTGGCAAAGCTCTGGTTTTCCACTGCTTGCTAAGAGTTAATTTACTCTGATGTTTATGTGAGCAAGATAGAGTACGCTGGCCTATAAAACATGTATGACTTTGGCTAGTGCATTCATTTATTGAAAAAAAAACAAAAACACAACCCATCTACTCACTAAGGCACGTTAGTGATTATGCTCAATGTTGCCATTCCCTGTCTCTAGAAGCTTAGGGTATCCTTAACATGCATGTCATTTTGTTGGTGTACATGTAATATACTCATCTTAGCCTTTTCTTGTGTTATCCTGACAATTTACGCTGAAAAACTTCGTTTGGATTATATAAGTGTCTTTGATTGGGAACTGCAGCTGCTATGAAATGGGGCTGCTTTCTTGGGCACTGCTGGCTCCTTCAAGAAACCTACCATGTCAGACCATCATGCCCTGGTTTAACTCCCTCTTTTACAAGAAATTGCTTAAGTTTGAAAAGCCTTTGTGGTGACTGATGAAGCTGTCTGTGGTCAAGGTCTGACAAGTTGTTTACAGGACCTAGGTGCTGGGCTACTTGTGCTTCGGTGGTGATTGTAGGTAACATTTTAAGAACCTTGTTTTACTGGGGGAGGAGGGCATGCCTTCTGAGAAGGATTCCAACTCAAGTCAGCTCATCAGATTTTAACACATGGCCTTTTATGTGGAAAGATTCAGTATAGGCTCTTCATTCTGCCTTGTCAAGCCTCTGCTCAGGAGCAGTCTTCCTAAATAAAACCTTCCTGAGTAAGAATCCTCTGTGTCAAAAAAAAAAAACAAACCCCAAATTCCCCTCTCTTTGGTTTTTTGACCTCTCTTGAGTACTTCGTGGCTGTCCTTAGTGAAGTTTGCAAAGTCTGCCCTTCCTGAGTAAGAATCCTCTGTGTCAAAAAAAACCCCCAAAATTCCCCTCTCTTTGGTTTTTTGACCTCTCGAGTACTTCATGGCTGTCCTTAGTGAAGTTTGCAAAGTCTGCTATAAAAGTTGTACCTCAACGCCATAGCGTTTCCATTGTAGACATCTGCCTTCACTTAAGGTCCAGCTGGATTTTGCTGCCTCCATGGGTAGATCTAGCTGATGTTAGGAGGTGCACAGACTTTTTTGTGCTGGGGCTGTGGTACCTGATGAATTGTGGGGTTGCACTGGGGCTGGTACATTGGGGTCCACTTCTTGCAGGGAAAACTGAGGTTGACTTGGCCAGGTCCCACCTGGGCTTAACCCAACCTCGTTGTTGCACAGCAGAGCACCTGGGGAGGAGTGAACTGTCTACCTTGTACTGAGGCTGGTGACCTGTGGACATGAACGTCTAGAGCTTACTGCCCACCAAGTCCTTAGGTGGAAGAATAAACTAGGAGATGCTCATTGCGAATGAAATGAAACACTCTGTGCATATGTGCTGTCAAAAGAGGTACATTTTCTGCACAAGGTAATGGCAGTTAGTAACATGCTATTTAACGTTTGAGGAGAGCTGGAGAAAATAAACACAGCCACTTACAGGTGCCTTCAGGTGTGCTTTTGCAGGCACACTCAGACTTACGACTTGATCTCTCTTTAGCTGTTAGTTACTGCCTGTGTCAACTGGAAGGGTGGTTTAGGAGAAATCTGTCTCTCTTGGCACTGAATCGAATGGAAAGCATTCGTGGAGTCCATTATGGTAGCTCACTGGAGGGAGTGGTAACTCATAGGAATGAAAGTGGGAGGCAGTCACGTCTCAAATCATGTTGTGAGAACGTGTCCAAATATGTCCTTAATCAGCATAACTACAGGAGCACTTTGAAGACTCCTTTGCTCCAGGATTAAGGGTCTTCTAAAAGAAAAAAAAAATAATTCTAAGACCAGCTTGGGGCTCTTTTGAGCATAACTATTTATTTCATAGCTCTCTCCCTTCCTCTGAGACTTGCTCATGTGAAGGAAAGCACCTTATCTTAAAACTGTGGAGAGGTGCCAATCGTGGGGGTCTTTGTCAATGTGAAGCTCTTGAGATTAAATAATTGATTGCAAGCTTGGTGTGTGCCAGGGGTGTTATAATATGGATGAACAGATGTAGCTAACGGGGAAGAGCAGAGATAAAGCATCACATCCCTATGCTGGCTTGAGCTGTGTGGTGGATTTCTGGGAGAAATCCAATGAAAACAGACATTGACAGCTCGTGTTCAAATCCTCTTAAAGGAGACAAGTTCTGTAACGTGTTTAGGTGTGTCTCATAGGAAATGCTTCTCATCTTTTTCCCTTGGTATGTTGTTGAAGCTGTCTTGCATCAGTGTGAGGCTTAACATTCATGTTGTAAAACAGGGAAGATGCATGTGATAAGATTAAATATTTAAAGAAAGATACATGTCCTTTTTGCTAGCTATATATAGTGAGTAGCTGTTCTAAGTTTCTTGTTACTCCATTTTAATAGACTTATCAAATATTTATACTTTGCATTTCTGTCCAGAAGCCAGTGGGGCTGCATGTGCTTTTCCCATTTACCACCTTTATCTCCAAGCACTGGGATTTTGCTAACTAATGTTTACAGAGCAACTGGCATAGCCATTTTGGGGCTTTGAAGGTAATCTGCAGCAAGCTTTGCATGTTAGAACCAGCGTGGTGTTTGTCCGCAGGGAGAGAGGAGAAGAATGGAAGGGAGGGATGGTTTGGGAGGTGGTTATAACAGTAGATTAGTTTTGATCTGCATGACTTAGCAATTTTTCTTGGAAGCAGGAAGAAAAAAGAGGCAGTAATTTTTGTGAAGTAGAGGTCAGTGTGCAAGCACAATTTTGAATATTGCTCGAGAGGAGACTCGTGTCCTTTTCCTTAACTGTCACATTAAATGAATCTTGTGCACCCAGAAGCTGTTCTTATAACCTTTTTTCCCCTGATATTACAAGAACTCAGCAGTTGGTTTGCTAAAGGCATGCTGTACCTTTTAAGATCCTTCAAATACTCCAACTGAAGCACCACAAAAATAAAATTGCAGGACTAAATCATGCTGTTATGTGTAGGGACAAGCAGAGGGTCCATAAGCATGACTGAACCGTTTGTCTGTAGCTTGTTTGGTGGTTTGGTAAATTGGTAGATTTTTTTTTTTTTTCCAATCTGAGTGTGTAAGCATAAATGTATTAATGTATAAATGGTTTCTTGCCTTTTTAAGAAGGAAGCAGTCTGTTAAACTTCCATGAAAAGTTTTTAAAAATATTCCATTTTTTAAAAATCTGTTACATTTATAGAGGATGCTGGTTTGGCTAAGGGTGAATTGACAAGTACAGTGAATCATTTAAGAGCCAGTGAATATTTTTTTTTTCTTCTAGAAATTTTCCTACATTGGCAAACATTGAAAGGAAGAAGGCGATGCAGATGCAGAAGGAAGAAAGAGGAGAAGTGCTGACTACCCAGCAGTTTGGGTAAGTGTTCTGAAACAAGCTTGTTACGTTCTTCCTAATGAGTTCAGAAGTACGCTCTCTTACTGTGGTCTCCCAGCACTTAACTGCCTCTACTGTACACACGATCTAGCTGCCCTTTAACCAAGGACAGGTCATTTGACAAACTGCAGATGTAATGTTCCTTTGTTTACAGTGCTTCATAGTCCACTTCAGTTAAATTAAACAATAATTGTATTGGAAATCTGATGTTCATGCTGAATTCTGCACTCTGGCTTGTTTGAGAAAACCACATTCTAGTGGCCATTCATTAGATCAGCGTAACCTTAGTCTCTGAAAAAGAAATAATGGGGACAGAAGTCAAGCAACGTAATGAATCCGCGTGATCTAATCCTGTAAAGCCTGAAAATGGCCAAGAGAGATTTCTGTGAGCAGATTTGGCTTCTTACTCTCTCTTTTCAGATGATAAATCAATAATCAAGTGAAGAGGGAAGGAAGATTTAACTCTATTTTCGTAGCTTAAATAGTGCTGCTTCTTTCTTCTACCCTCCATCATCTTTATCTACCTTTGTTCTGGGCCTAATACTTAATCCTGTTGGATTTTTAGCTGTTCTCTCCCTTTTACTGTTAATTACTTTCCAGTATGATCTCTGTTCTTTTCTCCTCCCCGCAGTGTCAGTGTTACATGGAACCAGCTAACTTCATTAGCTCTACTTCAGGGCCGGTGGGAGGACTTTTAAGAAATGTTATAATGATCCATGCCCACAGAATATCACTAGTTTAAATGAAAACGACTGAGCTGGAAGGCAGGAGAAGACCCACTTCTAAGGGGGTCTTGCTAAATCCCACTTGCTGCTGCATGGAAGTAAAGCTGGAGGTTGTCTGCTTCTTTTCTTTTTTTTTTTTTTTAAATAGGGAATCACACCAAACAAAATAAAACTTGCACCGTGGTAAAGTGGTTGAACTAGTGCAGAACAGGATTAATGCCAGGCTAGTGTGATTTGTTAAATGATGATAATGCGAATTACCTTGGTGCAAGCGTGTGCTTTGGAAGACCCAGTGTTTGCCCATCCCTCCAGCCAGTTGCCTTTTGTGACTTTGGAAGGAAGGATTTGTAAAAGACTAAAGTAGAAACTTCCTTCAAAAGATATACAGTTGCAGAAGTGCTTTGGGCCCAAAGAACCAAACCTAGGCATTCAGACTAAAGCTGCAAACATATGGAGTTACGTTTGGAGGTTTTTACAAGCAGAGAGGAGTTTTGCTTGTCACAAACCCTTTGGTGGCTACAGGTTTATTTGGTAACTGTTGTGGCTATGAGTTGGGTGCATTATGTAGTCTTAAATGTCCATCAGCAATTACATACTTATCCATTATGTGTGTTAGTAACTTTATATCTGGAAAATGGTTTGGGAAAAACAAAGCCCTCAGCTAGAGGTTGTTTGCGGCTTGATTTCACCTTTAACTCTTGTTGATTTTAGAAATCCATTCTTTTTTTCCCCTCCCTTCCCTGAACTGCTAGCACTATAGTCTTGATGAACTGTCCAAAAAGCTGTAGTTTCTGCTTTGTATATCAACAGTAAAGGTTCTGGCATTGGTACATATCTGGCAAATTTACTGATGCATGAGGCAAAAATAGAATACATCCTGTGCTCTGCAAGCTGTACTATTAAAGCAAATAGCTAAGTAAGATTTAGAAGGTATTAGATACTTAACACTTCTGTGGCGCTTTCCATTTGTGGTTCTCTGAAGTGCTTTACAACTGCTAATTCTCAGCATCCCCACGTGTGAGATTAGAGCTGCAGAAGGACCACTTTAGCAGTCTGTGTGGTGTCTTGCAACAGCTGATGAATAGCGCATGGCGTTTTATCCCTCTGAATGGGAAGTGAAGAGTACATCTTTCACGACGGGAAGGCAAAAGGCAGATGCCAGGCTGATGTTTGGGATGTGTTTGTGACCTTGGGGTTTCTTTCTGGGTGATTGAGGCCCCAGGGAAATCAGAATGTTGTTTTTTAACCCATGGTCAAGGACAACACCTCTAACTGAGTTTGTATTTGCTCAGTATCTTCTAGGTTATACAACAATGTCCTGAATTTAGAGCCTGGTTGTACAAATTCAGAAATGTAGTTCTCTGTCTAGATGGAGTTGAATTATGGGAGCTAATATTAGCCTCCTTCTGTGGATGAGAGACTGATGCACAGAAAGGTGGTGGTTTGCCTCTTGTGCCACAGGGGTGCTATGGTGGATGGCGCTATCAGGGCCGAGCAATCGGTGATAGACACTGTCATGAAATGACTGGGAAATTAAATATGTTTTGTTGAGATACAACATTTTGAATGCTATGGCAGGCCCTGTTCCTCTCTCAAGAAGGACTTAATTAGGCTGGAAAGGTGTGGAAGAGAGGAATATTGGTAATGGGAACATTTCTGTACGGGCAAAGAAGCGGGTGACTTGGAAGGGCTACGTATGATGGAGGTCTAGAAAAATTCCATAGGTGGGAAGAGGTGAATAGAATGCAGTTATACACTGTTTCTTATAACTTGAGAAGGATGGGAGTACCAAATTACCATTTTAGACATCAGAATGAAGACAAACCAACAAAGTGGATGGGAGTACCAAATTACCATTTTAGACATCAACAAAACCAACAAAGTCCGTTTTTCACAAAATATTAACACCTTGCTGCAAGACTTCAGGGATACCAGACATTCACACAGCATGGGACACAAAACCTTCAGTGTCTTGGGAGCATCTCTGGTCAGAGTGGGTCTCTCGGTGGTACAGTGCTGAAAAGTAGGCAAGGAGAAAGGTGACCGTTTGCTTTTATGCTCTTTTTTTCTTTCCTCACATGTTCCACTGGCTGCTTATCAGTCACAAGGTACCAGGTTGGAAATACACCTGTGAGATTCTGCTTGCAGATGCATGACTTTAGACCCAGGGAGAAGTTTCAGGAAGAAGCTCTTGCCCAAGTATGGTATTACACCGTTAACTAGGGATAACTGGACCCCTGCCATGCTGTAGGTGAGGCTGAGGGAGAGAGTACAGAGCAAAACAAAACCATGGGGCTCATTCAAGGCGGTAGATCTTGTATGTCTTTTGTGGTTGTAATGTGCTGATGACGAGTTGCGGTCTTGTTTTGCTGAATTAAGTTTCTGTTGCTTGAAAGTAAGTATTTTCAGGAAGCTTATGTTGTCATTTCTGTATTTGCTTTTCTGTCTGGGTCACATCTATTCTTGTACCTATAGACTTTGACGAGAGTTTTTTCGGCTCTCCAGGTACTGTCCTATAAACATGTTTTGTGTTTATAGGATAACCTGGAAGACTAGTGGAATGTGCTCTTTCCATGATTTAGGACATGTTTTGGGGTTGTTGGTTTGTTTTTCGGTTTTTTTTTTTTTAAATCCATTGTCCTGATAGAAGTTTCTTTTCTTCCTTTTCCATCCGAGTGAAAAAAGTGAACGTTATGTTAGTTGGAGGCAGGAGTAGGCAGTTGTTATTGCAATTGATGGTGTCAGATGGCTGAATGGATTTAGTGCAGCAAGATCCTTCTCTGAGCTGTAACTGGAAAAAGGAGACTTCAGCAGTGGAAGTACACTTATAGCAGATGACTCCCTTTTAATTCCATATTCCCCCTGTATGACTTCACTGATTAAGTGAAGGGAATATTTGTTGGCTTTGTAATGTGAAATGAAAACACTATGTCCTCACACTACAGATGATCAAGAAACTTGTTTAGCCTTCATACCCTTTGCCTTGTCAAAAGATAAAACTCATGAACTTCAAACTCTTCATTTAGGTTCCAGCTTTGTCACATTGCCCTGCCAATGAGATGAGCTGTGACTACCTGTCTGGTTTGTTACCACATGTTAGCTGAGCTGGACTAAGTCCTGGAATCATGCTGTGTTGCTGAACCTTAAACGTGGACCTGACCCATTTGGTTACGTCGATTGATTTTGTTCTCATAGCCTGTCATTTGTATGAGCTTTGTGTTTCTATTCTCCAGCAAAATGAAGGGGATGTGGAAACCTTCAGAAAATGAAGAGAGGTTTGGACAGCAAGGGAGACAGAAGAGAAGACAAAGGCGCCTGTTCTGGAAGAAATTCAGGAAAAATAGTGGCGATTATAATGTACATAGAACTCAACATGAAGCCAATGGACCAGAAAACAGCATGTGTGAAAAGGAACATGAAAAACAGCATGCTTTGGCAGATCAGCCGTGCATGAAGGACATGGACCCTCTTGGTCTTCTGGCAAACAGTGACATTGGTAAGGTGAAGAAATGTGGACAATTATTATTTTAAGTAGTACTGCTGAAAAGATTACTGAACTTTTGTATAGCTAGCAACTTCTGGGAAGAGCTAGGGATTTAGAAAAACATGTAAACTCTGTCCTTGATTGAAAGAGGGCTAACTGGGCAGGTTTAAAATGGGATATCTCTCTCTTAGTAGAAGATTGATGCATTCATGCAAGGCTTTAGAGTGTGCTTGGAGAAGAATAATAATGGGAAACCTGTTGTCATACTGATCTCAGTATTACTGGGAAAAAAAAAAAAAGCCCAGGATTGCTGTATAGTGGATACAACAGGGCCAACAGGGTCCTAAGCATGAAGGTAGTCCAACATCCCCATGCCTAAAACTTGCACTTAAAACTTCCTTTTAAATGGAAATTTCTGTAGAGAGATGTCCTGATTCAGGATATGGTCTTCTAAGAAACTTTCCAGTGTGATTATTGTGGAATGTCGGTTAGTGGTTTATCAAAAGGAAATGGGGTAAATCTTGCATTCGGGGGAGCACCTGCCTAGCAGGCTTGGTCTGTTATGGAAGAAACTATCTTAGTTGTTCAGAAGTCTTTGAGATATGTGTGTGTGTCTGACTGAATTTGTGTCCACGTGTGCTGGTAGGAGGAGCTAAAACTAGTAGACTTCGCTGAAATACCATTTGGAAAGAAGCTGAAATACAAAGTCATTGAAGAGGAAGAAAAATTCTGATTTGGAAAGGCTGACACAAGAATGTTTAAGGCGCTGCCAGCATCAAGCACTTATGTATAAGTTTGCTTGCAGGCCACGTTGATCATACTGTAAACACACAGACTACTGTCTTTCTGATTTTTCTTTGAGAATTAGGCAGCATTAAGTTTTATTCTGTATGATCAAAAAATGCTTGATCTGAAGAAGAGATGATATTGGGAGACAGAATGTAGGAGTGTCTTGGATTTGAATAATGTCTGTGCTATGTATGTTTTAAAATACATTACTTGCTTTAAATCAGTAGTTAGCTAACAAACTGAAGAGGGTTTCTGGGCTCTTAATGAGCACCTCAATTCTATCTTTGTTTTAACCAGTACTTTACCATAATAATGTTATTTTACCTATAATCTCCTGATTAGGAACACTTTTTTTGCCCAGAACACTTGGCTGGGAAAGGCAGCAAAAGGGAAAGTGGTTTGAGCCATAGGGAAGTGATGCTGTAGTAACTTTAGAAAGGAGGGGAAAAGAAATAGCATCTGAGTTGTTTTAAGTTTAGATGCTGAAGGTTTTGCTTGCTAGTCAGGGTTTTGGAAGTGCTGCCAAAAAATTTTGTGTGCAATATTACACATTTTGCCATAAATACTGTACAATAGCCTAAAGGACATGCATCAACTTAGGTTGCTAAACCAACATGTAAAATAAGCAAGTCTTTATAAAGCCAGAAGAAGAATAAAGTACTTTGACAATCAAATTATTTTTAAGGACTATTAAATATCCCTCCGTGGTTTTGAAGTAACAGTATTTAGAATGTGAAAACAAATGGATTTCCTTGTATGAGTTAAGTGAATTACTTAAACTGTCAGCATTTTTCTTTTAATTCTGGTTTTTCCTATATTATCTAATTTACTCTTGATATGCTCCATATGTGTGTGTTTTCTGAAGTATTGCTGCTTAGGTTTTCTGGTGAGCATGTCTTGTTTCCACATGCCAGCAGCAATATAAACTCTCCAGAGAACTATTTATAATAGATTCAGCAGTGGTGCATTACTCTTAGAATATGGCATGTAAGCTGATTTATACTCTAGCTAATTTTAGCAACACGGCTAGAACGCATCCCCTGGAAAGACGTCTGATGCTGAGTTTTTCCTCTTGAAAACATAATCTTCAATTAGTGGGAACAAGAACTCAGCATCCCTGTGCAATTTGTTTATTCCACTAATCTCTGCGTGTTGGGAAACTTAAGTATGCTTAAATATAACTGTATTTCCCCACAGCATCTGTGTTTTACTTAATGATAAAAAGTCTAATTATACCAAAGTACAGCTAGTAAGTTCTGTTATGATAGGTAGGAAAGGAATGTGGTACTTGCTTATTATGCATTATTAAAGCCAGTTGCAGTTTTTTATACTATTGAGCAATATAGTCATAATAAATAATAACAAAAATAACTAAGTAAAATTTAAAAAAAAAAAAAAAAACACAACAAACCATACAACTGAAGTCCCTGATTTTGCTGTATAGGTGCATTTTGTTGGAGTATTTAAACCTTTAACAGCAGCAGCCCTTTCTTTAGAGGGAATGTATTTTTTGCATAATGCATTCACTTCTGTTCAGTGGCTAGTTCGAACCGTGCCCTGGGCTGCATCAGGAGAAGTGTGGCCAGCAGGTCGAGGGAGGTGATTCTGCCCCTCTACTCTGCTCTGGTGAGGCCTCACCTGGAGTACTGCGTCCAGCTCTGGAGCCCTCAGCACAAGAAGGACATGGAAGTGTTGGAGTGGGTCCAGAGGAGGGCTACTAAAAGGGCTGGAGCACCTCTCCTACAAGGACAGGCTGAGCGAGTTGGGCTTGTTCAGCCTGGAGAGGAGGAGGCTGTGGGGAGACCTGGTTGTGGCCTTTCAGTACTTAAAGGGAACCTATAGGAAAGATGGGGAAAATGTTTTTAGCAGGGCCAGCTGTGACAAGACAAGGGGTAATGGTTTTAAACTAAACCAGGGTAGGTTTAGACTGGATATAAGGAAGAAATTCTTTACAATGAGGGTGGTGAAACACTGGAATGGGTTGCCCAGAGAGGTGGTGGAGGTGCCATCCCTGGAAGCATTCAAGGCCAGGTTGGATGGGGCTCTGAGCAACCTGATCTAGTTAGTGGTGTCCCTGCTCACTGCAGGGAGGTTGGACTAGATGGCCTCTAGGGATCCCTTCCGACCCAAAACATTCTATGATTCCTTCAAAGCTAAGAAATTGAACAGGAGAAAACAGAATTTTCCTTTTGATTTATAAGCAGAAAAAGATAAGATGATGAGCCTGTCAGGTGTAAAATTTTTAGGGATCTACTGACCAGGAACAGTCAGTTGTATTCTGTGGTGTGTAATGCTTCCTCCACACGTGTTACTCTCAAAGGGAAAATGTATTCCAGTAAATGTGTTTTCCTAATCTGTTAAAGAACAAATTAATTCTTTAAATTTAAAGAAAATAAAAGGAAAAGGCACCCAACCCCAGTATGGCCTCAACATTCTGGATGAGATAGAAAAAAGCAGCAATGAATCAAAATAACTTGGAGTAAATGCTATTTTCATAATTGCTTAAGAATATGCACATGCTATGTGTTCTCCATTAGAGAAATGCCCGCATTTAGCATGCGTTTCCAATGTAATTGCAAATTGGCATGATAACTAAACCAGTGAGAATCAACCTTCTCACAAAGAGCTCAAACTAAAAAGAGGCAGGTAAGTAGTTTAGATAAATACCTGAGTATTTTACCTAAAAGTTGTTTTACTGAATGTCGCAAGCTCCAATGAATCAAATTGTCAATTGTTAGTGATACATTAGAAGAGAGCAGAGAAACATTTGTGATTTCAAAATAAAGACATCAAATGTTTATTTTGGTAAAATCTTAAGAAGTGTGAGGCAGCTTTCCTGTGGGGCAGGCTTAGGCAGACAGGGGATGGGAGGGGGCACAACTCTTTTCCTTCATCAAAATAAGATTGCAACCAGTGTTTTTATAGAAGTCTCAACAGGCTACTAGTTTCTCGAAATGTTTCTAGCAGTGTGGGGGGGTGTGAATATACCCACATACATATGCAGGTGTATTACTGAAAAGCATTTCCTAGTTTTTCTGCTAATTCTAGCACTGCTCCCTTGAGAGTCTTCTCAAGATTTTTGTTGTGTATAGATCCTTTGTTTCAAACTAAAGCCATCACAATTTTGCATGTTTATCTTCAGGAATTTTTTTCTGGTAGGGGTCTTTCGTAGTGTCCTCAGTCTCAGCATTTTTGGTCTGCTTGCCTCCGGTCTTCTTGGTATTGTCTCTTGGGGTAGGCTGAGACTGTAATACCTCGCTTACTCATGCGTGTCTGTAATGCTCTGCGGGAATTTAAGTATCAAATGGTCTGAAGTACTGCTGAAAACTGATTGTCTAATTTGTAGCATTGGTTCTTAATCTCCCTAACAAACTTTGGTTTTTTTACTATCCAAGAATTTCTTAGCTGTTAAATTCTTGCTTTGAACAGCCTAATTCTCCCCCCAACCCCCCCCCTTTTTTTTAAAAATTTTTATTTTCATTCCCCCTGACTGGATTTTGAATCCTTCTCCCCCACCTCCACAGGACTAAACCCAGCAAGACTTCAAAACATATTATGAAATCCTCTCTCTCTTTACCTACACTGGATAATAAAACCTATAATTACATTTGGTATATGAAGAAAGAACCAGAAAGCCCAAGCTCTCGTTCAGGAAACATTTTTTTGCTTCTGTAGCTTTGCTGGCAGGACTGTAAACCAGTGGTGAGACGACTTTGCCACTGAATGTCTGTACAGAGTAGGCAAGTGTGTGGGTTGGTTTTTTTTCAGTCCATGGTGTTGAGCAATGGACACTGGTCTTGTGTAGCGGTGAGATGGGGATTTAGCAGCAAGGCTGGCTGTTGGCATACAGGAGTATTGGGAAAAATCCCTCTTGGCTTTTGTCTCCCTGCAGAATCTGACAAGGATGAAACGGCAGCCGGAGATGGGAGGCTGGGATTGACTGTTGTTCCCAAGCAGGTCACCTCTGCCCTGAGTTCGTTGTCGGCCAACTACGGCAGCGCGTCCGACAGTGAGCCCGAAGGTGCGTAGCAGCATGTCCTCTGCCCTTCTCCTTTCCCCTTCTCCCCTACCTCACTGCGCTGGTGTGGTCTGCAAGCAATGATAAGATCTGATCACAAATGACCCTTCTTTGGGAAGGGGGGGGACAGATGGACTTCACCTCTTGCATATTTGGTCCTTTGCCATCTCCCATCCAATTGTCCAGGTCCCATTTATTTATAAAAGCAGTATTTATGAGTGCAGTAGCCCAGTGGTAGCTCTTTATGGCTGCATCCCCAACTGCTGAAAGCTGCAGATTATAAGTGCCAGACAGAACCTACATAGTACTTACAATTTTTTGAGAAAAAAACTTATAAAAGAAATCAAAGGTGTTACAGAGGAAAATACAACATGTAAGCTGTGGCTTATATTTAGCAAATATGTTAATGTAATGCCAGTTCAGTGGCTGTATCTCCAGAACACTTGGCTGTGGAAATGGCTGTAATTCAGAGCAATCTTGTACCTGTTGATTTTTAGGCTTATAAAAGTGAACTGAGAAGCTTGTAAAAGGTTTTGCACAGGGATGTTGTTGTGGTCTGCATACAGATCCTTTCCAGTTTGCTTTCAGTGACAGTGGATGCTTGTACTGGTGTAAGCCATGCACAAGGACAGGCTGGGAGGAGTGAAAGGGTATGCTGTTATTTGGTTCCTCTCATTTCCCCATTCCTCCCTCCTCCCAGTCTGGAGCACTAACCTGGGTTACTGGGTGAGCCATCACTTGTTCCCAGTGTGGTCATAGCTCCCGTTCTTGGAGAAGTACCCAGACAGAATGCAGCATTTGTGCAGATAACCGGTGCATGGGGATGGCCTTTTCTGCTTGGCCTCTGCCACCTCTAATGCCTTCCTCCCTCTCCCCCCAGCCCTACAGCGTACTTTAGAAAGCCTCAAACAGAGTTTCCTGAACGATTGGATGGGTTTTTTTCTCTTCTCTTTGCTTGCCTTTTCTCATCAGTGTTTCCTGGGTTGAAGTGGGGGCATAAAATATCTTTGGTTAGGGGGTGTGTCATTGAATTTCCCAAACCTTTTTTCCCCTAGTTGGGAAGAAGAAAAGGAGCCTGTCTTCAGTCTCGCTTCAAATCATGTTTGAATAGAGCCAGAAAAAGCTGTTATGCTCACCCTGTGAACTAATTTCCATCTCCTTGAGGGCTTCTTTCATAAAAGGCTTCTGTGTGTGGCAGTAAGACTTGAACTCTGTAGTACTTGGATTTTTTGCTTCTCTGAGTGTATGCATCAGCATATGGTAGAGAGCTGCTGCTGCTCCTTGTTTTTGCAGATAGTCACTATGCCTTACTCACCCTAGATGGCCTAACCAAAGTTGCAGAGGTCGTCTGGTAGGCAGGGAATTGAACTTGGCCATCCTCTGCCCTAACTGCATCATGATTTTCTTTAGCAGCCAAATTTGCAGCAAGCTATATTGTGAAGCAAAAGCAATGTACTTTCTAAGTGATAACAAGGCAGAGGTTTGAGAATCACACTCAACTCTTACTACTTCTATTTTTCTTTTTGTACTGCAGAATTTAAATATCTTGTTTTCCTTTCTGTGAATGTTTAGAAATTATTCTTTGTTTTTTAAAAGAAACCCCAAACCAAACAAAATCCTCCCTCCCTCCAAGTAAACATCAGGTTATGTGAGCAAGAATAGTACTAATGAGCTGTCAGTGCATGGGGATATAAGCATGTTGAAGATGCTTTTAAGTTTGAGATGAAAGTATGTTCTTTTTCTCTAAGAAATCCCTGTCAAGACTGCAACAAAAGCTGAGAAAAACCAGGCTGCGCTCAGAAATACACCTCAAACTACTTACGTTCCTCGGAGTCGAAACCCGAATCAAAAACGTCCAGAATATGCAGGCACGATGTTGAGAAGCTCGAATTCAAATGCACGTCCCCCCAGAGGGCCTGATAACTGGGGCAAGAAAACATTACCTCTCCTTCCGAAGCGCCGTCCAACTCTGCTGGAAATGGTAACAGTCTTAGTGCCAAAATAATACCTCCTGTACAAGAGTAGCACTGTTTGTGAGCAGTTCTCCTCTTCCCTCTGGGAAGTTAGAGTAGTCTGTTAGCAAAGGTCTTGTCTTTAAATAGCAAATTAGAGCGTTTCATTAGGAGAAAGTGTAGATGCTGAAACAGACAAAGAGAAATACCCTGGTGTGTGTTCAGGTACTGACTGACTTCAGGTAAGAGATGACAACTTAATCATGTGCCTAAAATGAGCTGCACAAAGGACGAAACCTTTATTCCTCCCTCTCTCTTCCCTGTGGTAGTATTTGGTAGGTTTTGTTTGTGTGTGATGCCGTCAGCCTTATTCTGGTCTTCCTGCCTTTGCTATTTGGCTGCCTTCCCCTGATTGAAGAGCAAACAATTTTTTCAGATGCAGTCAAAGAGATCTTGATGATAAGACTGTGGGTGACTTAAACTTAGAGTGGTCTTGAGCTGCAACCTGCACATGCAGGGGTTTCTTCTGTGTAGGCAAGTGTAGGCCAGTCTGAGGAAGTGATGGCACTGGTACCTTGAAGAGCAGGTTGGTGTCTCAGAAGGGTAAAAAGAGGTTTGTAGACGTGAGTCCAAAGTGTTATGAATCTGTTCTCAGTAACAGTGCAAAGCATCCTATTTGGAAGCTTGGTGGCTTTCTTTAATATAAACAAAACTTTGAAGCTTTTATTGCATTTAGTACTCAAAAGCAGTATCGGATGGGTAGACTACTCTCATGATTCTGTAAATAGCCAGCATAAAGCTCCTTCATCAAAGGAAAACTTGCTGTGGGCGGAGCACAGGAGAAAGCAGGGTGCCAGTGGCATAAGGGCTCTGAAACAGCACAGGATGTTTAGGCTAAGAGATACCTGATAAGCCACATCCCAAGCTGCAGATGTGGGAGAAATCCCTTGATAGCCCTTTTAGCACATACTACCGTTGCTGCCAAGAATTAAAACTCCTAGTGACTGAAAAGGAAGTGTTTGCCCTTTGTGTAGCTCCCTAAGCATGCAGTTGTCTTTATCTCTTGCTCTTCAAAGTTGTTGGTGATCAAAGCAGTGAGGACTCTGGAAAAAAGTCATATGAAGTCTCACATGCTGAGAGAAGCTGGCAGAACACTGGAAACCTGAGTTGTAGCTTGCCAGTATAGTCCATTTTTAAAATTGCATTTTAGTGGGTTTTTTTGCCTTTCAGTGTTGCTCAAAACTGTTGATAAAGGATGTGTGCTGTGGCTGTGAATCACAGAGGAGTGCGTGAGACTTGCAGTTAGGCTTCTGCTGTCAGAAATGATCAGGGTATAATAACCTTGAGGAACCAAAGTTGAAATTTTAGTGAGTCACTGTTGAGAATTTATTCAAAAAGTAAGGAAGTGGGGTTGCTAAGAAAAGGATGTTGTATCAGTGAAATAATGATTTAAAAAAAAACAACAACAAACAAAAACAAAAAACAAAGGGGGGGAGGTAGGAGAATAGCTGCAGATGTCTATTGGCACTCATTCGGCAGCGAGCTTGGGCACCACTACAACTTGTCTATTGTAGCCATACAAACACTAATGTGTGTTTAGCCTTTCTGTAAGCTGACAAAAGCCTGCGTAGCATCACTCCGCTGATACCCATCCCTGCATTAAAAAATATAATGCAGAGATACAGTTTTTGATAGGGTGATGGTGCATCCCATCTCTGCCTTTATTTGGCCATTTGGGAATTCAGCAGTTTCTTCCAGTCCGGCAAAGAGAACGTCTCTATGCTGTCCCTTCTCTGCCCTCATGTGCATCTCTTAGTTCAGACAGGAGGTTTCTGAAGGCCCATTTTAGGTGTCAGCTGCTTGTAACACCTCTCAGTAACTAGTCCTAAATAGAAATATGCACACTTTAAATTGGCTGGTCAAACCACTGTTGAAACTTAACAACAGCAACAAAAAAAAAAAAGCTTCTCTGCGACATTACAAGCCAAACTTAGCTAGGCTGTGTAACGTGGACCTCGGGCAAATGATCAGATAGTTACAGATTCAGCTACTTGCTTTAAACTTGTTGTTTGTTCAGAGTACTAGTTCAGCTGATACTCAGAATGACAAAAGATCCTTCAGCCTTCTGGCTGATTTTTTTTTTTTTTTAAATACCAAAATGAGCTTTAGTGAGGTTAAAGGATATGAGAGAGGCCTCTAGCACTTCGATTAAGCTATTAGACTTAGGCTGATGGATGATAGCCCAAACTAGTTATTGCTATTTAAATCTATAGTCTGGTACCTGATGAAACATCCCCTTTCCTTGTATTTATAAGTGCTTTTTAGGGGTTTTCTAATAAAAAAAAATGCATGGTATATTAAATTACAGATACAGTATAACCTGGAAAGTGTAAAAGATGCTAATAGGCTTGCTGTCCTGATGTACTGGAATATGTGGCCTGGAATGCACTCTTTGTTTCGGATGTTAATTGTAGTCCATGATATGAGAACATTGTCACCTGGGTCTATACAGTCAGATAAACTGGGGGGGAAATTCCTGGTATTTAGGTATATTCCACGATGTTTTCTACCACCTGAGCAAACTGAGACTGACAGCAATAGAGGGAAGTGTGCATCATCTTCTCTTCTTTCTTTCCAGTTACTGGCCCAGGACATCCGACACGAAAGGAATGTGATTTTGCAGTGTGTTCGATACCTCATCCAAAATAACGTGTTTGGACTTCATTTTAAAGCAGAACCACAAGCTGAAACAGAGACTGAACAGTCCTCTACAACAACAACTGCAGCAGAGACTTTGACGGACAAATTTGAGGAATCTAATTGTTCTTGTAGCTCTGACCTTCAGTTAGCAGCAGGAGAAGAAAGTGCATTATTAATAGCCCAGGGTGAGAAAGTACCAGTGGATCAGACTTCACAGATGGTTCACTCAGCAGATGAGGACACATGGGAAATCCCGTCAATTCAGTGTGAAGAAGCACTGTAGAAGATGCCTGCTGTGGGCAGGAAAGCAAAGGCTCATCTTTTCTACCTGACGTTTTTTGAAAGACATCAGTATAACAAAATAATCATTAAAGTACATACTGAAAGCTTGTTAAAACCACTTTTCTGATCTGTTCTGCCTGAGGTGGCCATTTCCTTGTGAAAACAGCATCCATGTTGAGTAATTGCATTTCCCTGTGGCAGAAAGGCAGCAGTGGCACAGAGTGTGACCTTCCCTAGAGTAGGTGCGGATCCCTTCTTTCAAGCTTCAGAGCTCTGAATGTTTTACCTTGTTACAAAATGTCTGTCAGTCCATCACCAGAGCCAAGTAGCATTGTGGTAGGGTGGATCTTCATCATGTGGAATCATGGTCTGGTGTGTCTGGGAGTATCTGAGTGTCCAGAAGTATTTCAGTCGACTTTTGAAATGGTAATTCAGTGCATATTTTTTTCCCCAGCTGTTATTTGATATAATATATAAATGGAAGTTATAACTGACCTTGCACCAGGATTCTCCTCCTCTCTGAACTAATTTGTTAATTGAGCAGAGAAGTGGAAATGAGGGTGCAGACTGATGCAAGAAACATCTTTTTTTAAAAAAAAAAAAAAGATACAATAACTGCTTGCATCAGTACTAGGTTGCTGGTTGACCTCAGGTACCCAATATTAAGCCTTAGGCCTCAACTGCTGTTACAGTCATTGCCTGATAAATCTGACTCTTGAAGCAAACTGTTAGTGTTAAGAATATTATCAAAGTTTAGAAAGCTTACCAAGAGTTACTGGTTTGTCCCTCTTTAATATGCATTGGGAATTTATTAGTTGGCCTTCTGGAAGAAAGTCCTCCTTGGAACATTGTTACAATGGTCCTACACCATCCAGTGATGCTTGGTTTTTTTGGTTTTTGTTTTGCATAGAATTGTATGTACATCCATAGTGTTGTGAGCATTAAAGAAGCATCAGCCAAAGTTTAGAAACAAGTTTAGTCTTTTGATTATATTGTGCATTTGTTTGTCACAATCCTTCTTGTCAAGGGCAGATGTTAGTTTGTCACATTGATACTGAAAACATGCCATGAAAATAATCTGTTATCAAAACCTCTACTTCAGGATATTTCTCCACCCTTTGTCTTTTAGTCATGTCTGAATGTTGGTGTTAAATCTCAGGGACAGATTTTATTTTCTGTTCTTTGATAGAAGTCTAGCCTTCCATTCCACTATCTAAAATGTGGAGACTCACATGGGGTGTTTTTGTTGCTTAATAACTGTATTTTCTTTCCTCTAGTTCCTTAACTTGTGCCATACATCTCATTTGTGGTGCATAGAAAACAAAAAATAGTTGAAAATTCTGTCCCACTGCTCTGCTATTTATACCTACGACTGCATATTGTGTTTGTAATGCACCATCTAAATTTATAGAATTATATAAATATCAACACCCTTGTAAAAGTTGTGTGTGTCTCCAGAATGTATGTGCAGAATGGGAGCAGTGATCATAAACATTTATATTTCCAAGGCAGATGATTCATTCTTCCCATGATGGTCCCACGAGCCATCTCAGTCTCACTGACTTGCTTACAGCTCTTACGGTTTTACTGCGGTGAAAATACCAGCAAACGACTCTTGAGCCATGGAGGTCTGGCACTTGGGCAGAACCTGGTTTTGGAGTGGAGTGGTACCAGTGCTGTTGAAAGCATGGGTAACAGCTGCAGGAAAAGAAATGGATGTCTTAGGATAGCTACTAAATTGCACTTTAATCAACCCTTAGTGTGCTTCTGTCCCTATTGAGTTGATGGCGGAGCTTTCTTTGACTGTACACTCTGATCTTGTGTTACAAAAAAAAAAAAAACAAAACCAAAAAAAAAGCTTTAATCTGAATTCTTTATACTGTTGTCATTATGGATTTAAGAATATTAAACTTTCACACAAAACCAAAAGTTTTGTCAGAAGAAAATGTTTCTGAAGTCTATTTCATGTAGATAGGAAGAGGTGGGTTTCTTTTGGGGGAGATCTGTACCATTGCGGGTGCTTAGTTGCTGGCTGGGGTTAAACAACAGCAGTCCAGCATGGCATAGATCAAGAGCTTTAATCTAGGACTTGTTGTGTACATGCAGAACTGCTATTGTTCTTGTAGTGAACCTTTTCTGCCAACTCACAACCGATGCGTGGAGAGACATGCTGCAGTGATGCCGAACCCTGGATTGCAGTCTTGGTCAACGAGTGGAAGGTCTCTGTCCCTTCCTCTCCCCCATTTTTCCTGTTCTTCCAGGCTGTGTTCAGGCTCCATGGACCCCTTCCTGCTATTCAAGAATGTGCTTGCGTTGTACTTTGGCTTCAGCCTTTGGGTAGGAAAGCTGCCATAATGACCTTTTCTGGTACTGTCAAATGCCTGTAGGCTTCTCTGGTCCCTGCAACTTTCCTGTTTGGGGTTAGGAGGGGTGGATTTTGTTTACTCCTGTCTAATGAGATGCCTCTCTGTGTAAGAAGAACCTCTTGCTTCTGACATGCTGCAGGAACCAGTGTCTGGGTTAAGCTTTGTGTAGCTTTTAACTTTCTCATTGTTTTGGTGTGGGGTGGTGGTTTCATGTTGATTTTTTTTTTTTTTTAATGTTGTTAGGGGAAAAAAAAACCCCTACTTCCCAGGCTTTGTGACTCATTAGATAAAAATATTACAGTGACAATCTTCACACTTCTGAAATCTTATTTTTATCTCTCTTCTTTTATAACTTAGCTACTGAAAATGTGATTGTGGGCGTCTGGTTTAAATTTGGTACCCTTGGGCTTTGGTGGTTTTTTGTTTGTTTTAAATCCATCTCACCTACTGAGCTGGAACAGTTGAGAGACTTCACTCGGTTGTGGCGGTGCAGCTTAGGCAATCCAGGCTTTGCCGTGAGCGGAGTCACTTACGCTGCGGCACAGCCGCTCCTGAGACAAGGGTAAGGGAAGCGAGTGGTGTTCGTTTCTAACTGGCACGACTCCTTGCTCATTGAGGGCTTTTGCAACTGGTTGTATGTGTTGATGTTGCAATCCTTGCATTGAGAGTACGGGAGATGGGGTGTTGGGTTAGCCCTGCTCCGAAGGGAGGTGCTGTCCCTCTGTGTCAGCTCCTTAGAACTGGGTGTCCCTCTGCTTCCCCTTGTTCCTG